ATCTATATAATAACAATAATCTATTAATATAGTAACTGCTCACTCACATGTGCATTGCGTAACATCTTCCCACAGGTCTTTAAGTTATAAGGTGATTCATCCTTCAACCAACGGACCAATTTCTTAAGTACAGCGACCAGCTCCACTAGCACAGGATCACTATGAATCCCCTGCCAACGATATAATGTACAGTACATGTGCTACAATGGATACCTGAAGCTTTGGAAAATATCTCATTAAAACATCTTTAACACTTTCAACATAATAATGCCAGTGGACCACGTCTGGTCTGACCTATAAGGGGAAAGGGAGTGAGTCTGGTCAGTAGAAGAGGCCAGTGTCATACTTCATCAATTTTAAATGTACTTTCATTTTGAACTTTGTCCTCTAACGACTCCTTCAGTGTTACCTAATAAGATATACCAGCAACAGCCACCACTACTGGTCCTGGAGTAAGACAAGAACACACTGACCTTCAGTCCTTTGCTACCCAGAGCTCTTTTAGTACTGATCTTTGTCAACCAGGTAGGATCACCATCTTAAAAATACACATGTACATGTACATGTGTACATGTAATAAGATTATAATAATTGTTGGTTACCATCAACATGTAAGTATCTTTTCTTATCATCAATTCCTTTATGAATCAAGGTAACATTTGAACCTTTTAATACACTTTTATCAGCAGCTGCAACTGACTAATAATAACAACAACAACAACAACAATAATTATAGTAATAATTATTATTATGGTCAAGTACAGCTTACACTAGTAAGAGTGAATGTGTAATATTTAGGATCCACATCATCAATGGAGCCAATAGTCAACTATTTGATAAGAAAATGTATTTTAAAATGTATAAATGTAAAAAATGTATATAAATGTATCAACCTTCAAGTCATCTCCTGCCATGAGGTACATGTGAGTTGGTAAATGTCTCAATAAATACTTTCCTCCTAATTCAATAGAACTACCTGCACACAGAGTGTATTAATTAGAAACCACACCCCTGACCCCTCCCACTACTAACCATCATAAGGTTCCTCTCGTTTCACCAGCTGCCACCAACAATCACCAGACACTGGGGGAGGCCTTGGGACAGGAAGGACCCTCTTCTTTTTAAAATAAACTAGAGAAACCAACAATAATAATAATAATAATGATATTGATAATAATGATGATGATGATGATGATGATGATTATACCTTTTTGTTCGTTGTCATGTTCAAAATCAACAGCTGGTAGGATGGTGTGTACAGTAGAGCCTTTAGCACACAAATAAGAATCAGTCTTAGCATTATAAAACCTAACAATACTACCGCCCTATAGAGAATATACTGAGTAATATACTGAGTAATATAACAATGAACAATGCATAAACATAATACTAATTAATAATAATAATAATTAATAATATTCATTAATTATTCATTACCCTGATGAGATTAGGAAGTGACTCATCACTTTTTGTTTGTAATTTAATAGAAAAAATAGAATTAGTGATGGCCATTTTCAACTCAAAACTACAAAAGTACAAAACACATTAATTATAATAAATAATAATAATAATGATACCACATAACCAATGACCATAACAACTAATTAATTAATTGTACCCTTGTAAAAATTCCCAGCAAGATCTTGTTAATTTTCATACAAGATCATGACAAGAATCTTGACAATAATTCGCAAGATCTTTCCTGAATTTGGAACAAGGATCATGTAAGATAGTGGAAGATCTTGCTATCAAGATTCCTTCAAATTCTTGCAAGATCAATTGCAAGATCTTTTCAGATTCTTACTATGTCTTAACAGGATCTTTCCTGAATTTGGAACAAGGATCATGTAAGATAGTGGAAGATCTTGCAATCAAGATTCCTTCAAGTTCTTGCATGGTATTTTAGCATATAATGCTCTTTAAAATTTAATACAACAGTAAGATCTAGACAAGATCTTACATTGCATGAATGCATAATACATGTGTAAAATATTGTGAAATGTGAATGTGAACTTCATTGATTTTTTTGATTGAAAGTGATTAAAACTTCAGTTTCCTTATATGCTGCCATTACTGTTAAGGCTATCGTGGGTTGTCAACTACTTCCTGTGACGTCACATGATTTGTAAGATCTTTCAAGATCTTGTAAGACTCAAAATACTGTGATGTGTGATCTTACAGTATCATAAGATCATGGCAGATTGTTCAAGATCATAAACTTATGAGATTTTGCAAGACCTTATGAGATTTTAAGCTAACAAGATCATGTTAGTTCTTACAAAGTTCACAATGTGGGATATTTCAAGATTTTAATTAGGAAAATACTGCGATGTGGGATCTTACAGTATCATAAGATCATGGCAGATTTTTCAAGATCATAAACTTATGAGATTTTGTACGACCTTATGAGATTTTAAGTTAACAAGATCATGTCAGTTCTTACTAAGTTCACAATGTAAGATATTTCAAGATTTTCATTAGGCATGATCTAACATTTTCTAACATATTCCTTTACTCATAAGATCTTTGATATTCTTACAAAAATTATAGTCATGTTAGATCTCAGCAGATCTGACAGCTTCTTAAAATCTTATGAAATCTTAAAGCAAGAATTTGTAAGAATTTCTGTGACAAGATTTTACAAGATTTCTATCTTACGTTTTCTTGTATTGTCATGTGAAATCATGAAACATCTTATAAGATCTTGCTGGGATTTTTTACAAGGGTAGTAATTTAGTTACTCCCCCTCTCCCTCTCCCTCCCTCCCTCACCCTCCCTCTCCTTCACCCTCTCCCTCTCCCTCCCTCTCTCTCCCTCACCCTCCCTCTCCCTCACCCTCACCAGTCAGTTAATGAGTTCTTAGCACAGAGGACATGATGACCTTTTCTACCGACAGTTTCAAGAATCACCTCATCCCCTGGAAATATCTGGAGAGGAGGGAGAAGAGAACATGTACACTATGAACACTTAAAAGTGTGTGCAGTGAGAGGATAATGAAAGGTTAATGAGAATATATTTACATCTTGACCCTTTGAACTGTTCATCAACGAAGGAGGAGGAAGCATCTTAAAGAGATAAGGTTCATCTGACAGGAAACCCTAACAGATACGAGAGGGAGGGAGGGAGAGAGTATGTGAAATGTAGTAACGAGAGGGAGTGCTCACTGGTTCTGTCTCAGTCTCTTTCAGTGCTTTGTCAGGTATTGACAAATACTTCTTTGATGCAACATGCAACAACTGAAGGAAAACAAATCTCAGTTATTACTCAAAAACAATAGAGGATATGCGTAATAAGTATATTCATAGCTTTTTAGTACTGTATATCCAACCCACACAGCAAATTGGCCGCCATGTTGGACATCAAGTTTATTAAGAGTTCAATGGGGGAAAACATATTTTCTTGCCTTGCTACCTTCTTGAGGCCTTTTTCGGAAGCTTAGAAAGCATCCTCAGGATCTAATGGGGTCTAGTAGTCACCTGAAAGATTGCTATCAAGAAATACAGAGCGGTTTCCTGGTACCAAGCCTTTTTCTATCATTTCTCCATTGCTGCCAATGGAAAGTTGACGTCCAACGAACTAATTTTTTTTCTTGAAAGTTATTATGGTATGCAATAAATACAATTATTTTGCAATGAATATACTTAGCACGCATATCCTCTATAAACAACAAGACACCTACGGTGCATGGCCTCGCCCCTATAGCTGCTACACTGCATGCCCTCACTGCAATAGCTGTTCGATTGTCAGCATAAAAGAACAGCGTGAAGAGAGTCTGCGCTTCCTGCAGTTGCACTTGCTCTTGAATACCTGCAGAAGTAGCAGCACTGCAGCACATACAAGCAGCTCCAGCCCCTCCCATGCATGTAGATTGAAAGGTGTGGCATTACATCATCAACGTGCAACTACAACGAGACACCTACGGTGCGTGGCCTCGCCCCTATAGCTGTTTGATTATCAAAATTAAAAGAACTTTAGCATGCAAATTGCATATATACATAAAAAAAGTGTACTCCTGAGGGATAGCAGCTAGCTTGCATAGATCTACCAGACTACCTGCAGAAGTAGCAGCATGCAAGCTAATCCAGCTACTCCCAAATTGGAGGTGTGGCATTACATCATCAACAATTAATTAATTATTAGATGGAAACAAGAAGGAAGTTTCAGATTTTTCTCTTGTTATAAGCGTTATATGACATTATAATGGCACAAATACTGTTGCCTAGATGTAAACTGAGTGATTTGAGAG